ATGATGACCGCCTACAGCCCCCTCAGCTCTCCCAGCAGGCCCTAGGCCAAGCCTGAGGAACTTCCCTCCTGGAGGATCCCAGGATCAAGGTAATCGCAGCCAAGCACGATTAAACTACAGCCTAGGTTCTGATCTGGTTCCCCATGCAGAGGAACTTGGTGGTGATCAACAAGTCTGTGACATCAGAATGCATTGCTGAGAACTTTAAGGTCTTCGAGTTTGAACTGAGCAGGTAGGATATGACCATCTTACTTAGCTACAACAGAAACTGGAGAGTCTGTGCCTTGGTGAGCTGTGCCTCCTACAAGGATTACCCCTTCCATGAAGAGTTTTGAAGCTGTTGATGCCTGCTCATCCCCAAGTGACCTATACCGTGTTTCCTCCCTCATTTTTCTTTCTTGCAAAGGTAGTATGGCCTGTGCCACTCAGCAGTGGGATAGCAACCTGTAGAGTGCCCAGTGAGGGTGTGTCTAGCTTGTTGTTGGATCTGAAGAGCCCTGTCAGTAGAGTAGAAGTCTCTTCCGGTTTGCTTTACCCTTCTTTTTGCCCCAAGGAGGAAAGTACAACCTGAATACCTTTCTTTGGTCTTTCTGATCAAAGAGAAGCAAATCTACTGGGTCAAAATAGTACCATGAACAGCTGAGTTTTGACTGCTTAGAAATGTAATCCTTTCAGCAAGACTTCTCTTTGCCTCAAATAAAAGTGCTTTTGTGAAAAAAAAAAAGTCACTGAGGAAAGATTATGAAAATCTATAAAAGTAGCAAAGTAGAATAGCCTTTGTACTAGTTTCAAATCATGTCTCTAGAACCAACTGGGCAACTGTGAGTAGCATATATATCTTCATTGTTTTCCTCAGGGCATGTTTGGATGCAACAATTAGATACCTATTCAAGCTAGCACATATAAAAGGGAACTTTATTAAAAAATATGTATCTTACAGCATCCAAAGAGCAGATTAACAACTGTATCCATTCTTGGAAACATTTATGGGAACTGGGGCTTAGGTAGGTTGAGAGAGGAAATCCATACATGTTCTGAGCACTGCTTAGGAACAAATCAATTATGTGTTTTGTACCTACATGAATCTACTATTTTTCTAACATATGTAAATGCTACTCTGAGTAAGGAAGTTCAAATATATTTTAAAGTGTGGTTTTTATCATATTCTTTCTCAGCCAAGAGACAGTCAGTATACATGGGGATATCCATAAACTTTCTTTTTACTTTAAAAATAATTTCTTTAAAAAACAAAGCCATATATGTACATAGTTTAAAGAGTCAAATAGTAAAAGTGAAAAGCTTGATGGGCGTTCCCCTTCCATTCCCAACTTTGCCCTCCATTTCCTGCCCTTCAGAAGTACTTATAATTTTTTTTGGAATTTACCTCCATATCTCTAAATAATATGCTTGTCTTGCTCTTTCTTGACTTTTTTGGTAGTAGGAATAATCTACATATTTCCCACTAAGGAAGAGAGAAATTCAGTTTTCTTTATACACTTCCCTTTCAAATGTGGTTAGTTAACATTCAGTGTTTGCATTCTTATGACCTATGTAAATGCTATTCACCACTGAGCCATGTAGTATACTATGATTACTATTTCTTTCTTGTAAAACTTTTTGTTTTTTCTGAAGGTAATATTTGCCTTTTCTAGAGCCCACATAGAGAAAGCAAGAGTAAGTAAGCAAGCAAGCAAACAAACAAGCAAACCTCACAAAATCCAAAAACAAATCTAGAGGGATCACATTACCCAACTTCAAACTATACTACAAAGCTATTGTTACTGAAACAACATGGTACTGGTATAAAAATGGGCATGTAGACCAATGGAACAGAACAGAGAACCCAGAAATAAAGGCAAATACTTACAGCTAACTGATCTTCAACAAAGCAAACAAAAACATAAAGTGAGACAAAGGACACCCTATTCAACAAATAGTGCTGGGATAATTGGTAAGCCACATGTAGAAGAATGAAACTGGGTCCTCATCTCTTACCTTATACAGAAATCATCTCAAGGTGGATAAAAACTTAAATCTAATACAAATCAGCAAGAAAAAACAAAAGCAAAAACAAATAATCCCATCAAAAAGTGGTTAATGACATGAATAAACAATTCTCAAAAAAAAAAAAAATGGCCAACGTGAGAAAATGCTCAGCATCTCTAATTATCATGGAAATGCAAATCAAATCCACAATGCAACACCACTTTACTCCTGCAAGAATTGCCATGATTAAAAAAAAAATTAACAGATGTTGGCATGGATGTGGTGAAAAGGGAACACTTTTACACTGCTGTTGGGAGTGTAAACAAGTACAACCACTATGGAAAACAATATGGAGATTTTTTTAAAGAACTAAAAGTATTAGAGAACTATTGTTTGGTCCAGATCCTACTATTGGCTATCTACCCAGAGGACAATAAGTCATTATGTGAAACAGACATTTGCACATGCAGGTTTTCTTCTTCTTCTTCTTCTCCTCCTCCTCCTCCTCCTCCTCCTCCTCCTCCTCCTTTTCTTTCTTCTTTTTTTTTAAAAGTCAGATACTCACTCTGTCGCCCAGGCTGGAGTGCAGTGGTGAAATCTTGGCTCACTGCAACCTGCACCTCCTGAGTTCAACCAATTTTCTCACCTCAGCCTCCCGAGTAGCTGAGACTACACGTGCATGCCCCACACCCGGCTATTTTTTTTTTTGTATTTTAGAAGAGACAGGGTTTCATTGTGTTGCCCAGGCTGGTCACAAACTCCTGAGCTCAGGAAGTCCACCTGCCTTGGCCTCCCAAAGTGCTGGGATTACAGGTGTGAGCCACTGCTCCAGGTGCACGTGCAGGGTTATAGCAGCATACTTCTCAATTGTAAAAACATGGAACCAGCCTAAATACCCATCAACCAACAAATGGATAAAGAAAATGTGTGTATACATATACCATGAAATACTACTTAGCAATAAAAAGGAATGAAATAATGGCATTCAAAGCAACCTGGGTGGAGTTCGAGACCATTGTTCTAAGTGAAGTAACTCAGAAATGGAAAACCAAACAACCTGTGTTCTCACTTACAAGCAGGAGCTTGCAGAAAAGGGTAGGAGGGAGGTGAATGATAAAAGACTTCATATTGGGTACAGTGTACACTGCTCAGATGATGGGTGCACCAAAATCTCAGAAATAACCACTAAAGAACTTTTCCATGCAACCAAATACCACCTCTTCCCCCAAAACTATTGAAATACAAATTTAAAATGAAAACGACAACAAAAAGCTATTCCAATTGGTAAAATAAAAAATTTGCCTTTTCTTTTTGGTGGTTAGCTTTCTTTATACTTACTACTAATTCATTCCCCTAACTTGCTTCCGATATATGAATCTGCTCTCAGTACTTTAACACATTAGATATTTCCAACAATTTCATCTTCTTAATGATTCCAGAACCTCCTGACTTGCTCCAGGCTGGACTAGTTATGCTCTATGCTTACTGCATAGCTGCCATCTTAAGGATTTCCTTTACATTATCCTAGAAATTCCCTTTGCCTCCCTTGTTTTTGATCCCCTGTGTCCCGTATCCATTGTCTTTCTCTTTCTTGGTTGAGTCTCTCATTTTGGTGACTGGTACTATTATTTGGTGGAGATACTAGTACCTAGTATCTCCCTGATAAAGGTTGCATGAGAAGTGTTTATAAAGTTTGACTGTATAAAATTTTGGATTAGAAAACACGTTCTCTGCCTCATTATCTTCTAGTTTCCAGTGTTGCTGCTAATAAATTTAATGTCTTTCTGATTCTTTATGCTTTTGTTGAAACTCCCTTCTCTCTCTCTCTTCTCTTTCTGAAAGCTTGTAGGATTTTCTCTTTAGTTGTCTAAAGTTTCACAGAGTATTTTTGTATTTTCATCTGTTGTGTGGAGAGTTCAGAGGGTCCTTTCAACCTGGAAGCTTATGTCTTCCATCCCAGGATATTTCAATTATTTCTTTGTCGATTTCTTCTTTTTCATGTAGAGTGTAGAGAACAACTCTATTGACATTTTTTGTTCAGATGTTGGACCTCCTGAACTGTTGCTGCTTTTGTTTTCTTATTTTTTTCCTTCTATTTTCCATCTCTGCCTTTGGCTGTATTTCTGAGTGTTTTCTTCCATTTTAACTTCTGGCACTTGGGATATTAATCTCGTTATCTTTTTTAATTTTTAAGAATGCTATTTTTGAGGTTACTTTTTTTTCTTTTCATAAGCTCTGTTTCCTCCAAGTTGCTGTTTTCTGCTTATTTATTTTGGCCTCTGTCTTTCATTGTAAAGGTTTTCCTCAAATGCCCCAATGAGTCTAAGCCCTTTGTATTTTAGTGGTGTCTCCAGAGAGCCCATTGGAAATTCTGAGCAGGTTGGGTGGGACTTGTCAATATGGGCTTTACTAGGCTGGTTTGGTGTAGAACTTTGGCAATCTCTTTATGTCAGTATCTCTAGGTCATTTGTATTGGGATCTGATTCTGCAGGAAAGGCTACTCCAGTGTTCCATATAGCGGGCAAAAGTCTGGCTGACAATGTCTAGGAGCTGAGTGTACTATGGTTTGGATATTTGACCCCTACAAACCTCATGCTGAAATGTGATCCCCAGTGCTAGAGGTGGAGTCTACTGGAAGATGTTTGGGTCTGAGGGTGGATCCCTCATGAATGGATTGGTGTTGTCCTCATGGTAATGAGTGAGTTCTTGCTCTGTTAGTTCCTGAGAGAGCTGGTTGTTAAAAAGAGGCTGGCATCTTTCTCCCCTCTGTCTTCCTTCCTCTCTGGCTCTGTGCAGACCAGTTCCTGTTTGCCCTTTGCCATGACTGGAAGCATCCTGAGGCTCTCACCAGATGCCCAGTCTTCCAGTCAGCAGAATTGTGAGTCAAATAAACCTTTTTTTTTTTTTTTCTTTTTACCCAGCCTCAGGTATTCCTTTCTAGCAACACAAATGGACTAAGACAGAGTGAACATAAGCCTGGCGTGGGTTTAGGGGGGTAGTGCCTCAAAAATCAGTCTGTAAATCTTCAACAGAATCCTTGCTCATGTTTTTAATATGCTGTCCCTACCCTCAGCTGTGCCTAGAATCCTGACTTTTTACCCCAGTAAGAGAGTAAACATCTAGTCTTCAGCCAAGTGCTGAGTGAATGAGGGGTTAGGGGGTTTCTAATTGTATCTCATATAGACTTTCAGTCAGACAGACCCCTTGTATTTGGCCCCTAGTTTCACCCCTACTCCCAAAGGGCTGGTTTAGGATTCAGCCTTCTAAGTCAGTGATCCAGCTGCTCATCCACCTGCTTTCCAGTTTCCATTACCATTGTAAACCAGAAAGTATCTGACACAGGTGTCCATCAATGTAGAGGTTTATTTTGCCAAGGTTGAAGACGTGCCTGGGATAAAGATACGTAAGCCACAGTAGGATCTGTAGCTTGTACTTTTTCTGAAGAGGATTTCGAGGGCTTCAATATTTAAAGAGGAAAAGTGGGCAAAAGGGGAAAGGGCAAAGAAAAGAGGTCACATTCTTGTGAATCCACGTTACATGTGAAAATGAGGGGTAGAGGGAACAGTTAATTATGTATTCATCTTGTACTTAATGAATCTGCACTTTACATAAGATAAGCACTGAGTAGAGAAAGCAGTCAAATATGCATTCATCTTGGGGTAGATGGGGACAATTTCTAGTCTCCTCCTGTCCCATACCATGAGGATAAATTGTAATTTACACTGTCAGGGTGAGGAAGGCCTGTGGTGGAGACATGAGGCCTTCTATCTGTGGCTGTCAGTTTAGGAACAAAAGAAAAGGCAGGCGTTTTATTTGTTTGTTTTTTGTGACTCGGCTACCAAGCTTAATTTTTCCCTATTGGCATAGTGAATTTGGAGTCCTGAAATTTCATTTTCCTTTCACACCATGTTGCTTTTGTCTTTGTCCTTTTCTCTTTGTTCTGGGGGTTTAGGCTTTACCCAAGTCTTTTTGTGGTTTTGATGGTTTTTTTGGAGAGATTGGAGGCTGAGTGTGTTTAGTCTTCCATCTGTAACCAGAACCCTAACATTTCTTGAAGTAAAAAAGGCATCATTACAGGGAAAAGACTGGAAATTATTGCTTAGTGATTCCTGATCAGTTTTCTTACTTCCTTCTACCCTCCTGAAAACCTTTTCCTGTCCTGTTTCACATTCACAGGTTTCTACTATCTCCTCATTAATCTGATTGTATATATTGACTAATCGAGTCATGCAAATAATAATCAGACATATAACAAATTGCTCCTTGCTCTTGAGAATACAATATCAAGAGCCCAAAGTGTGTTGGATACCTCCTCATGGGCTCCCTTTAAGAGAAGTAAATTGTGCTTCCTTTGAAAACAGTGCTATTGCATATAGTTTGCATCATGGAGGAAAAAAAGGAATTGTCATTCTTGTCAGCTCATTATTTTATTATTGACTGGTTGGCTTTTTAAAGGTGATGGGCATCATTTTTCTTTTCTCGGAAGATGATTTGTTAATGTCATATTTAGCTCATCTGCTTTGCTAAGGATCTTTGGGGATAACATTTAAGTCACTTATAAACTTAGACTTTGAGAGACAGACTCCTAATATCTAAATTACAGTGGCATAAGGAGGACTCTGGGAAGCCTGGAGAGCAGGTAACTGCAGCTGCACATCCTCGATGCCTTTTTACATCTCTGGAATCAGACTGGGTGTGTGTGAGCTTGTAACATTAAACATTTATCTGTATAGGTGATGGGGGTGGACATACACAAAACAGGAAAGAATCGTGATAACAAAAATTGGACAGAGGGTGTGTGTGGAGGGCTGGGGAAGCTGGTTCTTCTTCCTGACAACCTTTGCATTTTCCTTCATAATGTTTACATACAGTTCAGCTGTTTGGCTTTGATATGCAGAGGGCCTGGGGTTCCCTTCATCCTTTCTTTGTGCCTCCTCCAGCTGTCCCTGGGTTTATTTATTTCTTTTAACTGCTACTTATAATCCGTAGGTAGCCACAGACGACCAGGCCTTAAAGTGTGTTGGTGTATGAACATAATTTTAGAGGCAAACATCTTCTTCTTATGTGCAGAGACAGATGTGGCTGGGCTTTTCTTTTGTAGGTTTCGTCTGTGACAAGCATGTTATATAAAGATAGAAAAGAACAGAACATGTTTGTTTTTTTTTTTTTCCTTCCTGATGTAGCTACCAGCTAATTTTTAATCTAAAATAATGGTGATGGATTTTTAAGTGCCTGGGGTGATAGCCTGTGTGCAATAAGTCTGGATCAATCACCGCAGAATTTCCTTATGTGTACATGTAATAAAGTGGAAGACACTTTATTCACCCAAATTCCTCTTGGAGAGAGGGAGTATGAGTTTGGAAGAAATAGTTTGAGAAGCCTGTTGAAATCAGGATGGGGAACTCCAAGTGGCAAATTCAGGATTCAGAAAGTGTTCCAAATGCCTTCTAAAGAGGCTGAGACCTGCCATCTGGAGGACTTTGTTTTTCTGAATACTGAGATGGTCAAGTCTATAAGGTTGGAGGTTTGGAGCTGCCATGTATCTAAATTGCTTTTAATAACAGAGGGGAAAAAGAATTTGATTTGTTGATTCACTTATCTATTCATTATTTCAGACATCTTTGTTGAGTCCTTTCTCTCCACGGTACTTGGTCATATTACATGAGTGGATGTGTTGCTGGGGCACACAGCATGTGCTGGGGGTTTACAGAAGCTTCAGAATATACACGGATCATCTTCCTGGGGCATTAGTGGACTCCATAAATGGATTATGGAGATTCAAAATTCATCTCTGTTGTTAAAAACATTACATTTTGAAGAAGTTACTCGGCGTCCACTTGAGTCTGTGCTCTTAGGTATTTCCTCCTCCTTCATGTTATGTACTTACTTTCCCTAGGCACATGCCAAGTGCTGTAAGAATTCAGAGGATGGTGAGAACATCTGTGGCAGTGGACAGAGTCATGAGTGGCCACGAAGCCTTTCCGGAGGCAGGACTTGAGGTGAATCTCAAAGGATTGGAAGTATTAGGGAGCAATTGGTGAATGTGTGTTTGAGAGGGGGCCATGCCGGGTGAGGGAATGTCATGAGTCCCAGCTCAATGATGGAAAGGTCAACCAGAGTGGACCAGTTTGTTCAAGCTATGTGAGAGTGAGGAATAAAATCTGAATTGCATATGAGAATCAGTGGGTGAGAGACACCTATCACCTCTCCTGTTCATTATTAGAAATTTCTGACGATTTTGGATATCATCAAATAGATAGTTTAGGGAAGATAAACAAGAGGATGGCAAACTATGGTGGAGGGTGAGTTTAGATACCAGGTTGTTTGGTTTAGTGATTCCTAATCAGAGATGCACTTCAGAATTACCTGCAGAACATTTTAAACTAACCATGCTGCGGCCCCTTCCACTGGAGACTCCAGTTCAGTAGGTCTGTTATAAAGCCTATGGAGGGTCTGTGGAAGAGCTCTTCAGTCAATTTTGTTATATTCCCTGGCTAATAATCCGTGAAATAGGAGGTGATTGCAATGGCCTACTTTTAATGTAATGGAACTTGGATTTCAGGTGGTGGCAATGGAAATGGAAAAGAAGGGTTGAATTTGAAAGACTTTGTAATACAATAATAAGCAAGACATAAATTGATATTAGGCCACTCCCTGCTCCAATGTATGTGATGTTCTGGACCATACCCCATTTCCTGTGTATCTGCCAGATTAGCATAGTTAAGTTCCGCAACTCACTCACAACTGCATTAGCCTCAGTCATAGCCCTTACTCTGGAAATAATTCCACTGACAGCATAGTTCTTTGAGAACTTTGTGGACAACTTTTAAAAAGGATATTTTTGCACATTATTATTGCTGACACTATTATTATTCATGTTTTAAAAGCTATTTTATTATAATTCTCAGCTTGATTTTTGTTCAATTCTGTCCTTTAAAAGAAAGTTACAATACACAGAACAAAGGCGTTAGAAAAAAGAAATTCTCAAGTTTCTGTTGCACAGAGAAGTACACAGTCCCCATCAGCATTTCAGCTCTAATTTGTCCTTGAACATCCCTAGTGTAATGGGAGACTCAGAGACAGTATTATGCCTTGCAGTATCTAAGATAGCAAGGCACTTCTTGATTTTGAACAAACTGGATTTAAGTTTTGTTTGGGGACTAGAAAAATAAATAAACAACAGTTGTCACAAACCCTTTATGCCAGAGCAGACAATATTTCATTAAAAGACAGAACAAAAGTGCTGATAGAAATCGTTCCTTTTTGGGAAGCTGATTCTTTTTGTCATGGAACAAAGACTGGTAAAAATATTCACATTTGCAGTCATCAGGATGGCAAGACTTGAATTTGATGCAGAAATGCATTTATCATTTGATGTATTTTTTTCTGGCTGCGTGATTCAGCATTTTGATTTGCATTGATCATTTTGGAAAAATGAAGCATTTCTTGGTTGTGAAATAATTTGTTTCTTTGGAATTTTCCAGTTTGTGGCCTAGTTGACTATGTAGTGTTTTCCCAAGACTTAGTGTAAGATAAGAAAATGAGAGTCTCAGAAATGCCATAGTGGGCTAGCCCAGCATTAAGTCTATGTGGATAGGATCAGGGGACATATTTAGGAATGGGAACGACACAGCTACATCTGCTAACATCAGCTTCTAAAGAATCCCTCAGACTGCTGACTTCCCAATAATCTGTTAGAGACCAATAAAGCATGAATTCATGTGAAAAACTCTTAAAGATTATTCCGTTTTCAGCCTGCATCACCTCTCTCCATTTCCCTCCCTTTGAAACCCCAGCCTGCCCACATCACTCAAGTCTTTAAGGGCTTACTGCAACTTACTTTTCCTTATCATTCCTGAGATGTCATTCATATTCATGCCTCCATGCCTTTGTACTTTTGCTGTTTGCTCATAATGCCTTTTTTTCCTGTTTCCCTGGATCAGAATCCTACTAACTTATTTTTCAAGCCCTGCCTTAATGTCACCTCTACTGCAAAGCCCTCCAGATTCCCCAGTCACTCAACACCCATAATGAGCATCTGCTATATGCCAGGCACTGTGCTGATATTGTGACTAAAGATGCATAGGGTGTAGTCCCTTCAAGGGACCGTGTGTGTGCTTCCATAGCCACATCCTGCACATGTCCAGTACTATACTGGTGATATTAAACCAAAGCATAGTCCTTTAATTCTTTTCTTTTTTTTTAAGACAGTGCTCTGCTCCGTTGCCCAGGCTGGATTGAAATGGTGCAATCATGGGTCACTGCAGTCTTGAAATCCTGGACTCAAGCGGTCCTCCTGCCTCAGCCTCCCAGATAGCTAGGACTACAGGCACATCACCATACCTGGATAATTTTAAAACATTTTTTTTTATAGGGACGGGGGTCTCACTATGTTGCCCAGGCTAATTTTGAACACCTGGGCTCAAACGATCCTCCCAGTTTGGCCTTTCAAAGTGCTGAGATTAAAGGAATGAGCCACTGCACCCAGCCCATTCATTCTTAAAAGTCTCCAGTTCCTGCACACACACATGAATCAATGGCTTAAAGAAAGATGTAGATAGCACAGGGATCATGGTTTAGCTTTTAATTCCAAACTAGATTAGATTTTAAAAAATTCATGACCAGCATTAGTCTTGAAAGCCAGACTTCACTGAAAGAGAAAAGGGCTTTCTGGAGACACATTTTCCCCTACAAGACAAGAGCCATGAGTGAAGAGAGAACTCAGGACATCATGGAGGAAAAATGAAAGACTTTCTTTTCTTAGTACTACAGAAACAAATGGGGCAGAGAGGGAAGTTTTCATGTGAATGGTCTGGTTCTCCCCATGGGATCTGAACCTTGAAAAGGGATCTGGTAACAACCAGTTGACCTGGGGACTTTGGGCACTTTAGGGTGATGTATTAGCCTGTTTTCATGCTGCTGATAAAGACATACCCGAGACTGGGCAATTTGCAAAAGAAAGAGTTTTAATGGACTTATAGTTCCATGTGGCTGGGGAGGCCTCACAGTCATGGCGGAAGGTGGAAGGCACATCCCACATGGTGGCAGACAAGAGAAGAAAGCTTGTCAAGGGAATCTCCCACTTTTAAAAGATCAGATCACATGAGACTTATTCACTATAGAGAGAACAGCATGGGAAAGACCCACCCCTATGATTAAATTACCTCTCACTAGGTCCCTCCTACAACATGTGGGAATTCAAGATGGGATTTGGTTGGCAACACAGCCAAACCATATCAGGCCAGTACTCTGCTTCCCTGGGAGACTTCAAGCCTCTTAGAGAAAGTCTGAATTTGGCAGGACCATTGTCTCAGCATGGTGTATATAGTGGGTTGAACAGCCTCCCCAAGTTTGTGTTCAACCAGAACCCCAAATGTAACCTCATTTGGAGATAGGGTCTTTGCAGATGTAATTAGTTAAGAATCTTGAGATAAATTTGTCCTAGATTCAGGGTAGGCCCTAAACCCAATGACTGGTGTCCTTATAAGAAGAGAAGAGGACACCCAGAGACACAGAAAAGAAGGCCATGGGCAGATGGAGGCAGAGATTATAGTGAGGCTTCCACGAGCTGAGGAACCCAGAGAGCTGCTAGACATTGGAAGAGGCAAGGAAAGGTTCTCTTCTAGAGACTGGCAGGGGAGCATGGTCCTGCTGACCCCTTGATTTTAGACTTCCATCCCCAGAACGATGAGAGGGAGAATAAAGGTCTGTTGTTTGGAGCTACCCAGTTAGTGGTAGTTTGTTGCAACAGTCCTAGCAAGTGAGTACCCTGTGGGAGCAGCAGGGCAGTGTTGGAGCTCTGGGTCATACGCCTGGTTGCCTGTACTCATGCCTGCTGCCTACGGGATTCAGAATTTACACAGGCCTGAGTGAGGATGCAGGTGTGCTAAAGGAGCAGGTAACAGAGAAGTGTCAGGGTTCAGGAAGGGGACCACAGACCCTGAACTTCAGAACAGCAGCTCTTGGGATCAGCACAGCATCCCAGAACATCAAGACACCAAGACAGATCAATCAGCTAGGTCCCTGCAGTATGATATCAGTGTCCAGATGAGACCAGAAGCAATCCAGCAGAAGCCAGGGGACAGTGTGTGGACCACAGAATTCATGTGTGATGCCATCAGGGTGGGAAGCTGCTGCCTGCACCCAGGTACCCTCTTGGGAAGGAAGTGGGTGTCTGGCCAGAGCTCCTTTGGGAAGGAAAAGCACACCTGATAGAGAATTTGACTTCGGAAAATAAGTGCATGTTTACCTGAAAGAAGTATTTCTAACCTAGAAGAGCCTGGACTATTTTTTATTGAAAAGTTAAGATTTTGTGGTGTGTGTATATGTGTGCGTTGTCATTAAGAATTGATCACAGGCTGGGTGTAGTGGCTTACACCTGTAATCCCAGCACTTTGGGAGGCCAAAGTGGGAGGATCCCTTGAGCTCAGGAGTTTAAGACCAGTCTGAGTAACATAGGGAGATCCCATCTCTACAAAAAAATTTTTTTAAATTAATGGGGCCTGTGATGTGTGCCTGTAGTCCAGTTACTCAGGAGGCCAAGGTGGGAGGATTGCTTGAACCAGGAGATCAAGGCCATAGAAAGCTGTGATCACACCACTGTACTCCAGCCTGGGTGACAGAATGAGACCCTGTCTTAATTAAAAAAAAAAAAAAAGAAAGAAACCTAAAAACAAAGAATTAATTACAAGATGAGACCAGTTATGGAAATAGGTTTCTAGTTTTTGCCTATTTGAGTTACAGTATCTCAATGTCAGCTCCCATCTTCCCCCATTCCTAGACAGTTGCCATATTCTGTTGTGTTTCCCACTACCCCTGTGTTTGTTCTTTCCCTTGAACTGTCAGCCTCTTGTGGGTAGAGATGACACAAACATCTTATCTTTGGATATCTATCTGTGCCTGCAAGACCTAGCAGGACAATCCTAACACATGGTGTCATCTCACTGAATATTTGTTGAATGAATAAAAAAGATCAGAATGTATGTATAATTTTAAAAAA